GGGAGACTCAGCAAACCTTCTGGCAATGGCATGTATTGATGTGCCATCCTACAGGAGTTAGACTGCCTCTGCAACCTTTGTTGGGTCCTCATGCTACCAGTAGTGACACTGACCCTAACCAAATGCAAACTAGTAAAAATCAGTCAGAAAAGATGAGTAAGGAAAAAAATGTCAGTGGCCTTCACCTGTAAAACCATTCCTGATTCGGGGATCGTCTCATTGTTGTCCATATAGTGCACCTGTTATTTAATTAACACCAAAGCAGATGAAACTGATTAACAACCCCCTCTGCTACTTAACTGACCAGATCAATATCCCAGGAGTTTAATTGACTTGATGCTATACTCTGATTAAAAAGTGTTCCTTTAATTTTTTTGAGCCGTGTATAAACCCAACATTTCATATTCCTAACAGTGTGGTTAGTTCTCTAGCTGTGCTGGGAACTAAGCATGCTCTCCTCCAATGAGCAGACTTGCCTTGACACCCCCCCCCCCTTCCTCCCTGCACAGCCATTCACTGGAAGATGGGTGTTCTGCTGTGTTTCCTTCCCCAACTCTCTATGCAGCTGAGAACAGAGATTATGTGATCACTTATAAATCACTGGGGAAAAAAAAGTATTTATAATGTTTTTTATATGTATACACAAAAGTTTTCCATTTCATTTATTTTTTATCTGTCACAGTTGCCTGCGCTTTCAACTGAAATGTCAAGCCTTCAAATGGCTGATATGGTAACTGATCAAAATGTGCAGCACCACCACAACTGCAAATCAAACACTGCAAATTTACAGTCACTTCCTTGGCTGTAAAGGATAGGAGGATTTAGTTCCACTTTAAAGTGCTTGTAAAGGCTGAATATTTTTTGCCTTCACGCATTCTATGCATGAAGGTAAAAAAAACCTTCTGAGTGCTGCTCCCCCCTCAGCCCTCCCTAATACTCACTTGAGCCCCCTCTTGATGCAGCAATGTGCACGGGAGCCTCAGCTGTCCTGGGTCTCTCTCCTGATTGGCTGAGACACAGCAGCAGGAGCCCTTGGCTCCCACTGCTGTCAATCACAGCTAGTGAGCAAGTGAGGAGAAAGTGGGCGCAAGGCCGAGTTGAGCCGTGGACACATAGAATGGGGCTCAGGAACGAGCATGCACCAGTGCCCCCATAGCAAGCGGCTTGCTATTGGGGGCACTGGTCAAGGGGGAGGAGCCAGCAGCACCAGCGTGGAGCCCAAGAAGAAGAGGAATGGGGATACTCATTGCACAGAGCAGGTAAGTATGACATTTTTTTTTTTATTATTTTTATTATTATTGTATTTATTTGTTTATTTATTGATTTATTATTTAAGCTGAAGCTTTAATATCACTTTAAAGATTGGTAAATTGCAATATATTACATTTTTGTTTTGAGTATTAATACAGATTTAGTTTAATTTTTACAAGAGTGTACCTTTTATTATATTATAGATACAATCAAAATACTTTTAAGATTACATATTTCTTAACTAAAAGTCTGATATGAACCAAGTTACCCCAGAAGTCAGAATAGACAGTACCATCAGCATATAATAATCACCTTTTGCACAGGTGCTATGCTATCTCTGAGGCACTAATACGTGTTTAATGTGAGGCAGCAGAAAGTGCCCTTGAGTGCTGCTGACAATAGACCTGGTTTTGTGGCATGTCTCTGCTCAGATGGAAGCAGCCTGTGTTTTGCGGAGCACCCATGCATAAACAATATCATTTTCATAAATTAAAACCTCCCCTGCAGAAGAAACATCTGCGACTACCCATTCTGAATAAACGATGGTGGCATGCTAGCTGCCCCTTTTCTGACAGAAGAGTCTTCCATTGAACAAGCATTGCATGAATAACCCCTGGAACAAGAATGAGTTTGTCTGCGGAGAAGCTCCGTGGCCGCAAACTTCCATTTTTGCGCAGCTGTCACAGTGGCAGTAGCAGGGAGCAAATAGGGGGAAGTCTGCAATTCTAATCTGTCCCCTGGGAGAGGAGAACAACTTCTGGGACTGATCCGTGCTAGTTCGTTTGATAGAGATATTGGCACCTGAAAGAATGCCATTAAGAACCCCAATGACATGTGTGAAATCTGTTAACCGTCTCTTTATTACTATTGGAACAACTTGAAAGTAATTGTAGCAGCATCCATCTCAATAGTATGATGACCTATGTAAAACTTGGATTTATACATTTCACTTGATGCATTATCTAAAAGAACCCCCCCCCCCCCCTCTTGCGGTACTTGGTAAATGCTGATTTTTAATTACCTAACTTCTCATACCCTTTGATAAAAGGAAAATTAAACACTAATCAATAAATATAAACAATAAACTTAGGAGAGCAACATTTTCTTCATGTATTTATGCATGTGTGTGTGTGTGTGTGTGTATATATATATATATTTATATATATAAAATATTTTTTATTATTATTTTTATGTATTTACTTTCATTATTATTGTTTCCCATTTGCCAACTTCCTATTCCCTTTGCAAATTAAACACTAATAATAAATACAAACAATAAACTTAGGAAAGCAACATTTTCTTCATGTATTTATGCGTGTGTGTGTGTGTAAGGGGGGTGTATATAAATATATATATATATATATATATATATATATATATATATATATATATATAATATTTTTTATTATTATTTTTATTTTTTTATTTTCATGATTATTTTTTCCCATTTGGCAACTTCCTATTCCCTTTGCAAATGGGGATATTGAATATGAATTACTAAATGTTAAATGCTAAACAATTAAACCTTATTTAGGACAGCAAAGGGGGAGATTCACTACAACTGGAGCACTCAGAATCTGGGGCAGCTGTGCATGGTAGCCAATCAACTTCTAACTTCAGCTTGTTCAATTAAGCTTTGTCAATAAAACCTGGAATCCAGATTTTGCACTCCACAGTTTTTTAGTATATATATATTTCTGTTTTTAGGAATATTAAATACTAAATGATAATATTACTAAACAATAAATAAACCTTATTTAGGAGGACAACTTATATATATATATATATATATATATATATATATATATATATATATATATATAGCAAGGTTATTGGCTCTGAAAGGAGATCAATCCGACACTTATTAGAATACATTGGACCATACCTGGTTTTTAGTTTTAAATACTTTTCAGTTCCCCAGTTTTCATTAATATGGATAGAACTTTCGAAAACATGCTCGTGAAAAAAATAGATAATTTTTTTTGTTAAATAAATAAATAAATATAAATATATACATAATGAGTACAGTAAGTATAGTCAGCATTACATTAGGACCAATTTGAATAATTCTCCTATATCTGTTTGTGTTTCAAAGTACTTTTGGCTTAATGCTTACTCGCCAAAAACATTCCATTTGTAATGGCGGCCTTGCACTTGAATTGGCCATTACAGCCCCATCCTATGAAATAAGGTTTGAGACAAAAAAAAGTGGAAAAATGATGATCATTTTTAAAATAATTTTATTGTACAAATGATAAACGTTGCACTTTTATGAGCTATTAGAATAAAACAATAATCCCATAGGAATTACGCATAATAAAATCAATAAATCAAAGATGCAACAATTGGGCTAAACCGATCAATACTATTTCATAGTAAATTGGGATGTGTGGGGGATCGCAGTAACATCATTGCATACAGGATTACAGACAGAATGACAGAACATACTCATTCCAATTGAACCAGCTTTACATCTCAGACAACGATCATCGGAACCGAATTAATAACGTCACACTGCATCTAAGATTGTAATAAACGGACTGGTTTTCACGTCTGATGGCTTGTATTGTTTTTTTTTTAACTTTTGCAATAAAAATATGAAAGTAGAACTGAAGTCATCCCACCCACAAAACTAAAATTTCACTTTGACTCCATACAAAACCTCTCATAGGTACTGCATTAATCAAGCCTTAGGATTCTGATCCCATTTGAAGGACATTTCAAAGAAAATACACATTGATAGATTAGCGATAATAATTATGATAGTCAAGCAGCTTTTGTTTTCTGGAATACAATGTGATATGAATTCTAGCATAGTTACATAGATGACAGAGCTGAGGGTTACTACCAAGGATTCAGAATTGGTATTCAGCAAAACTGGCTCTTAAAGGGTTAAACAAAATCTGACTTCAATGAAGCCTATTACAGCAAGATTGCACGTGAGCTTCTGCAAATGGATATCCTGGGTTTTATTTAACCCTTTAATGCAATGAACCCCTGTGGTATGAAGTAGATGAAAAGACCCCTCGACTAGGCTTTATTAACGGATCTGTGTGATTTACTTCTCTCATTTTTCAAGGGAAAACATCTAAGGCAGCACAACTTTCTAAGCACTTGGTTGCTGGTTTAAATTACTTAAACTTAAGTTTTTTTTTTACATTTTTCAGTTTTTATTTGCTATAAATTAGATATAATTCTACTTTTTCCCCCATAGGTATAAAAATCGATGGAGCTGCATGTTTCTTTTTTTTGTAATCTTTAAAATAGGAAATTCACATTATAAAAAGCCATTAAAAATTCTGTACAAAAAAATCACAACAAAATAATTCAGCCATGGGTACAATAACTAGTAGTAAAATGTTGGTTGAAAAATAGATTTATATATATTTATTTGATTGGCCCCACCATTGGTTTTAAAAATTGCATAGATCCTAATTATTGCCTTGCGATTTTCGCTTTGTTTTATCTGGATCAGATAAAATAACACGTTATGAATAAAAGGTGTGTACTCCTCATTTAGGAGAGTAGCTCCTGGGCGATCTCTGGTCATATATACATTAATACAGCAAGTCAAAACCAAAGTAGCTTTCCAACTTTTTTTTTTTTTTTTTTTTGGATAGGCAGTACAGATCAAATGGAAATATGTCATTCACCAGGTGGGGTATGGTGCACTTTTCAGCCATGGTACCCATTGTAAACGAGACAAGCACGGGCAATTACATAAGTGTCATCATTTGATCTCTGGAAAGTTAATCGTGAAAGATGGCATTAAGCTGGGCACTCATGACTCTTTCGTGGTGTGTGTGGCCATCGAAGGACATGATGTTGTCTATAGGGATTTCACAACGTGGGCCAGTGCTGGAGTAAAGGGGACCATGGCTCTGGGCTAGGCTGGCCGCTGGGTAGTGCATGGTGAAGGCATAATTCTTATCAAACTCCGATGAAGGCTCGTGTTTGAAGGAAAAGTTCCCATTAACACTCAAAGGAGGGCTAAGGGGTCCATCAAAGGAGGGGCTGGTGCAGTCAGTGACAGTGCTCTCAAAAAAAGGCTCCAAGGCAGCCCCGTATGAATGGGGCTTGACGTGGAATATGTGGGAGCTGTCCATGGTACCATACGGAGGACTGGGAAGACCAGGGGATTGGTAAGGGTAGGGATGCAGGGGGAAGGAAGCACTTGCTGCTTGCATATGCGGTGGCATATCCTGGTTCTGCTCTGGAAGAAAAGTTCTGGGGTTCAGCTGAAGGCACCCAGCCACCAGATTGGTCGTTGGCTGGGACAAGCCTTTGCAAAGTGTCTGCACAAAGGAGACCAGGTCTGGACTTTTCCCAGACCTCAGGATCTCAGAAAGAGCCCAGATGTAATTTTTAGCCAGGCGCAAGGTCTCAATCTTGGACAGCTTTTGGGTTTTGGAGTAGCATGGGACCACCTTGCGCAGGTTGTCCAGGGCAGCGTTCAGACCATGCATTCGGTTCCTCTCCCGAGCGTTGGCTTTCATGCGCCTCATCTTGAAGCGCTCTACCCTGGCTTTAGTCATCTTCTTCTTCTTAGGACCCGCGTCTCTTGGGTTTCTGGTCGTCATCCCCGTCTTCATCCTCCTCCTCATCATCATCATCATCATCCTCGTCCTCATCCTCACCTTCTTCTTCATCGTTCTCCTCTCCATTGTGATGCTTGAGAGAGTCCTCATCCTCATCCTTCATGATGCTATCTAGCTCTTCCTCCTTCTTCTCCAAGTCGTGCTCATCCTGGGAGCTCAAACACTCATCCACCCAACCTCTCGAGCCCTGGGTGTCGGACATTATCAACCCATTATCTCGATAGGACTTGGTCATCTTCAAATCTGAGGAGGACAAGCATATATCAATGACCACTTGATGATCTCAGTGCCATCAACTAATAATAAAGATGAATATGTAACAACACAAATCTCTATTAGATCCCCTTCAAAGACTGTTATATAACCCGGATCTATTATGATGACCTTAAGTAGATTAAAACAAAATATAACTTGAGTAATGATACTAAATTAAATCGAACTGTAAATCTGCAATCTGATTGTGTAAGATCGGAAACTTTATTCCCACTATGGCTGTATTATAGAAGTCTACGGATCACTAGATGGCAAAGCAGCAGAAAAGACAATTCTATTAAAACTGGCGCAGGCGCCCTGAATGGAGGGGATCAGGTGCATCACAGGTCCTTATTATACACATCTCCCATCTGCAGTTTACTGTGCTGGGTTAGCTCAAGTATTTTGTTTTCTATACCTAGCCAGGAAAAGAAGAAAGAAAAAAGCAACTTGATGCATAAAGCAGACACTTGACATTCCTACTATACACCATGACCTAATGGCTTTAATACAGCAGGATCTAAAACATAGCTGGTGTATTCAACCTGCTGGAGACAAGGAGAACCCTGGCAGTTAACAGGTAGCATATGTTTCCCTTAGCACCACTACTTACCATACTAATTGCACTTTACCCATCCTCTAGTCTCAATGGACTACTATACCGGTTGCCAAGGGCTTTTGCACTTGATACATTATTGCTGCCTCTTATTGAAGAATGCATTTGTGAAGGTTCTCATTTATACAGGTTGTGATATAGCTAGTAGTAGTAAGTCCCATTTTCTGGGCTTATTCTCTAATGTCGGAAATCCATCTGGATAGCTTCATCAGCTCAAATGATTGGCTGCGTGGATGAGTCCTAAAAATCTTTTAATAGTACAGAACAAGTTCAGTTGAAGGAGACTTAACTACTGCAGGTTTTAGCTCAGTCCATGCTGATTGGTTTGTATAGGATGCATGCATTTCAGTTGGTCCATCAGGAATAACCCTAAGCAGACATGAGTCTATAGTAAATTGACTTTTTATTGCATATATTAGTTGCACTTTATTATATACTTTATATTTCTACTATATTTTGTATTTTATATCACATTTTACTTGATATTTATATTATACGTTATATTTCTACTATATTTTGTATTTATATCACATTTTACTTGATATTTATATTATACGTTATATTTCTACTATATTTTGTATTTATATCACATTTTACTTTATATTTATATTCTACTTTATATTTCTACTATATTTTGTATTTATATCACATTATACTTTATATTTATATTCTACTTTATATTTCGACTATATTTTGTATTAATATTTATATCATACTTTATTATATAATATATATTATATTTTACTTAATGTGCATAATGTATACACTTTATATTGATAATATTTATATAAAGCTTTATATGTATAGTTTATATACACTATTTTTATAATATTTATATTATATTTTATTTTTCAATGCAGATTGCAGCCCCTAAAGTAGACTGATAACATTTTAGCCAACTTCAACTATACTTCAACTCTTCACAGCCCTTCTATAAACTGTTTCCAAGCTCAAGGTGAGCAACTGACATCTATATAAATATACTGCGTTGGCTTTGCTACTTTAGTCTACATCCAGCCCAAAAAATATGAAAATGTTGCTATTTGATAATGAAAGTATTAGGTTGATTAATGGTCAAGCAATAGTAAGGAAGGAGAAATGAATAAAATATGGAAATGTAAAAATAATGATTGGCTGAGAAAGGTGATGATGTGTTATAAAATGATATGAATCGAGTGTTCTCCCAGATGTAGAGAAATAAGGATGCTGAGATGATGAGACAGGTAAGGCTTACCTTAATCTGAGTGTCTCCTTGGCAGTGACAGTCTCATAACCTCTCCAGTGGTACAGAGCAGAGGTGTAGGTGCTGGGGTGAATTGTTTTGTTTATTTCTGGGGGCTGTGATGAGACTCTGGGGTTTTATAGCGGGTCTCGTGACGCTAGGAGACAAGAGGGGGGAGGAGGAGGAGGAGAGGTGACAACACAGCAGTCACAGATTAGTGAAGGGAGCGCAGTGCGCTTGCGCCCCTCCAGAGCCTTCCTTCAAGCCCCGCCCCCTAACTTTCCCCGGCACGCGCCATATGGTCACCCAAGTCAGGCAAACGGCGGATCACGTGACCCGGCCCCCTTTTCCTCCATCCATTTGTATTCAGCGCTGCTCTCCCTTCCATCTCTTTGTGGCCAAGGGGGGGAAAAAAAGTGGCCATCTGTCGCCAGTTACAGATTCTGCGAACCTGTTTGTACCCGCAGGACAGGGTTAACCCCTTCCTGGCCGCGCATTGTGTGCACAAGACGTGACAGAAGGGGAGGCAGAAGGAGGCAGCGATCACTTGTGTCCCGGGAACCTCTCGGTGCCCCTTGGTTTGCAAAGTGCCATTAATGACAAGAGGCGACATCCTGCATCAGATTCCGACACTAGTGTCATTATTCGCCCCAGCTTTCCCGGGAGGAGCTTTCTGTCCTTTTCTTTTATTTCCATATTACATGAAAAACTACCACATATCACCCCATGGATGTTCAGAGAGGGGGGCTTTCTCCCTATTTGCTTCATTTAGCTGTTGGCATTACTGTTATATTTTTATTTTATATATATATATATTCATTTTCCGTGCACTCATTACATACAAACTTTCCGCTGCAACTAAATCCCCCAATAGAAGTGTACAATTCTGACCTTCCTTATGGGGGATCCGAGCCCCGAACTCTGTCACTGTACTAGCTGGCCCTGGTCCCCTGTCCGGGCTTCTCCATCACTCAGGTGATCAGATTCTTCAACTGCCGACCGATCACATCGTCCTACCAATCCTCCCTGCACTTGGTCGGTTTGGGCTCTGTCCGGGACATCATCCTAACAAACTCATTCATTTATTTAATGCAGGCAGATAATTCATCACCAGACACTGGAGAACCATACACAACCAATATAGACTCCATCTGAATCACAGTCAGTATGATGGGGTAATGTGCTGCTACATCACCAACTCACTCATTTTCTTTCTTTCTTTCTTTTTCTTTCTTTCTTTCTTTCTTTCTTTCTTTTTTTTTCTTTCCTTCTTTCTTTCCTTTTTTTTTCTCCTTTTTTCTTTTTCTGATATATCTATCCTAGTATCAAATCTATCTATCTATCTATCTATCTATCTATCTATCTATCTATCTATCTATCTATCTATCTGTCTATATATCTCTATCCCAGCAGACTTATCAATGCTATCTATCAATCTATCTATGACTCATTAATCCTAATATTCTTTCCATCCATATACCTTGGTAGACTCATGTAATAATCATTCTTTCTTTTTAAGACTCTTCAATGCTAATATTTCTTTCTATCTTTCTTGGTAGATCTATCTATCTATCTATCTATCTATCTATCTCTATCCCAGCAGACTTCTATCTATCTATCTATCTATCTATCTATCTATCTATCTATCTATCTATCTATCTATCTATCTATCTATCTATCTATCTATCTATCTGTCTCTCTATCATATGTTTATTTATGTATCTGTAGCAAAGTTAATGTAAACCCATTTCACAATGTATTCTGGAAGCCATGCAGCCAGACACGTTTACTGGCCTCAGTTAATGAATGAAGTCGCATCTCCCATCCCTGTATCCGATTTTCACACTATTTCAATTCTGTGGGATAAGATATTTCCAGTTTTCCAGAACACTTGTTCCTAACACATACACAACAAATACATCTGCTCATAGTCCTGTGACAATCGTGTCATCACATTTTATAGGAAGTGATCGTTAGTAAAGTATCCCTGTAATAATAATAATATTGTACATATATAGAAGAGGGGACACAGAGCAGTGCGGAGTTCTCTCTTCTTCTTTG